GCTGCCCGCGCTCAAGTACAACAACACGCATATCGCCTTCAAGCGCGAGGATATCCCCGTCCTGCCGGAGGCCCGGGCCACCAAGCGCATTGGCCGCGATGGCAAGCCCGCTCCCCGGCCCACCCTGAACGAGGAGCAGACCAAGCTCGCGTACGAGATGCTGGCCGTCCCGGACAACATCCGCTCCACCAAGTCCATGGTTGACATTGTCTTCAGTGCGTTGCGCTCCTGTGCATCAAAAAGCCGGGCCTGATGCTTGTATTCCGCGTCGGCCCCCTTCCACTGACCAGACTCGACGCCCATCCGTTCCTCTCTCCCCCCCCCCTCCTGCTGCGCTGCGGCCAGCCTCCGGCAAGAAGGCCAGCATCGACGTGACCTCCAAGAGCTCGACCGATGTGCTGCACTCCTTCCTCACCGCGGCCGGCCTCGATGAGGTGGTTGTCGATGGCGCGGTGCAGCGCACCAAGGAGTGGATTGCCCAGGATCGCATCGAGGCCCAGGAGCACCGCCGCGCCGTCGAGCGGAGCAAGATCCACAAGCAGCAGCAGGCCCACGCCCAGAAGGACGAGGCTTTGGTCCGGAAGATTTTCTCCTCCACCGAGTCCGAGCTGTTCCTCAAGGCGGCCGACGACTGAGGAGGTGGCGCCCGTGTGTGCCTCCCTCGGGGCCGCGTGCTCGCCGGCAAACAGCCGCGACTGCCTTGTCACCTGCTCTCCCCTCCTCCCTTCGCCTTTCCGTTGCCTTTCCTTTTCCATGCGCACCCCGCCCTCCTTCCCTTGCTTTCCCCCCCCCCCCCCCCCCCCCGCCCTCAACAAAACTCATTTGTACTCTATAGACCAAATTACACGCACACATGCACGTGCATGCATCCTTCTGTCGCCGCCACACGCACACGCACACGCACACGCACACGCACACGCACACACATCCTCCCTGAACCATGTATAGCTTGGTAAGTCGCCCGCTTCTTGCCAGCTCTCCTCCCTGTGGACGCGGGCATGCATGTCGGCCGGCGGCTGGCTGGCCGGCCGCGGCTTCCGGCCAGGGGAGACGGAGGACCAACGGGGAGCGCTGGTGCTCCCTCATCCTCGCACGTGATGATGGTCACCATGCCAGGATGCAAATGCGAGCCTCTCCTTGTGAGTGGGGGGTGGACCACAGGCGCGATCGCCGGATTGCGAACGTGCGCGCGTGTGTGTGTGAGCGTGGTGTGTGTGCGTGTGCGTGCGTGTCTGCGCGTGTGTATGGGCTGGCGGAGGCCGAGACCCGGAGACCAGCCTCGTTGATTCTACACACCAACGGAACCGAGGCTGGCGGCCCCGTGTGGCCGAAAATCGTGCTGCCCATCAACAACTCTCCGCCCGCTGTGAGGGATCCTCCGAGGTGTTCGGGCCGTGCTTTCCAGGTGTCTTTCTCCCCCTTTCTCTCTCTCTCTCCCCCTCCCTCCCTCCCTCGCTCTTTGCCCCACCCATCATCCACCGGCTTATGTTCTCAGACGCATAGACATGCTCCTTCTGGCGCTCGCTGCGCCGCTCGAAAAAGAGGCCACAATCGGCCTACCCGCATTGTCATGGAGCCAGGGGCGGGTTTCCGACCGAGCACTTGCGCTGGGACTTCAGGCGCCCAGCTGTTGGCCTGCTATGCTTCCGCCGCAAGCGTCCGCCAGCTTTCCACAGATCTCTCCCTCCCTCCCTCTGTCCCTCCCTTTCCCCCTCGCTTTTCCCTCCCTCCCTCCCCCCTTCTCTTCCCTCCCCTCCCCTTCCCCGGCCTTGCCTCTCCAATTGTGTGCATCCCACCACCTCAGCACCACGTACCACCGTCTTTGCTCCCGCCCCGCCCCTGCAGGTCACAGCTGCGTGTGCACACGTGCGTTTCTGGGGACCTGTGAGGGACGCACGCAGGCACGCACGCACACATACACACACACACACACATCCCACCGGTGCCCGTGTGTACACCGGATTGATCTTCTCGTCCCTCGCCCCGGCTGGCCACTTGGCGAGCCTCAGCCTTTGAACTCCTGCCAGCCGGTCGCCTCATCGCCTGCCCAAGTGTGACGATGGGTTACCTGTGCCGCGCAACCTGGGCATCGTCTCTCCTGCCGATGGGCGCCCGGCTGTCGCCAATGGTCGGAGCCCGGTGCTTTGCCTTGTCGGTGCCCTCGGCGGCAAAGAGCACGACCAGCCCGGCGGCCTCCAAACCACGTCCCAGGCTGCGAATCTCCTCGTCATCCGAGCGCCAGCAACGGCGAACGGAAATCCTCCACCTAGCGAGCATCATGGAGCCGGTGCCGCTTACTCTGCTGGAAATCTCCCAGAAGGTAGGCCTCTCGACGTCGGTCGTGGCGCAGATCCTCAAGGAAGAGAATGCCCGGATTGGCAGGGCGGAATCCCTCGAACCGGAGTCCGCCACCAGCGCCGCCGCCACCGCCGCCGCCGCCGCCACCACCGCCACCGCCACTGCCACCGCCACCGCCACCGCCACCGCCACCGGCCGCATGGCATGCTCCTCGACAGCTGGCGGCACCGGCGTCGCCGACCTGACTGGCGACATGCAGGACCACATCATCCAGCTGGCCATGCGGCCGGTTGACCGGCCAAGCATCCAGGAGATTGCCGTTCTCACCGGGACCAGCGCCACCCTGGTGGCACGCATCATTCGGAACCATGTGCCGGGCTTTGTGGACTCATCATCCGGGGGCGAGCTGACTCCCCTACAGCAATGCCGGGTGCTGGAGCTCCTCGACGGCAAGAGTGCGACCGAGGCCAATGCCTCGGCCTGGCTGGTCCCCTCGGTGGGCCGGCTAGCTGAGGCTGTCGGGGTCCTGCCGCGTGCGGTCACTCGCTTCCTTTGCATTCACCGGCCCAACTGCGCCTCCCTGCCAGCCGCAGTGGCACGGCCGTACCTCCGTGCCCTGGAGCTGGCACAGTACACCATGCCGGGGGCCAATTTGCCGGCCGTGGCCCCCGGCGATGCGGCATCGGCCCTGGTGGATGCGTCTCCGGAAGAGCTGGTCGACCTGATTGCCAAGGCGGCGAATTTGCCGGCCGCCGAGCTGGAAAACCTGCTCGGGGTTCACATGCCGGAGCATCCGGCCTTGACGGGCACGGCCACCGAGCGGCGCTTGCGCCTGCGCGTCCGGGTGCTGAGTGCGGCGGCAGAGACGGCGGCCGGCTTTGCGGCCACGGTGACCGGGCCCGGGGACCCGGGTGCCCCTGACGCTGGCCGGACCGCCGGGGCCTGTGTCGATGGGTTGCCCGGCACTTCGGATCTCATTCGGCTCCTGCGTGACCCCGGCCAGCTGGCGCAGGTGGCCGCCCTGGCCGAGGCCACCCCGGGCCGGGTGAAGGACTTGCTGCTGGCCGAGGTGGCCTCCCGGGCCGACCGGCCGGCCGGCTTCTTCCGGGCCATTGCTCACGGGCATCTTGACGAATGGGAAAGCAAGATGGTGATGGACCTGCTGAAGCGGAGCATCCGCCCCCCGACGGTGGCCGAGCTGGCCCGGAATACGGGGCTGGCCCCGCTGCGGGTGGCTCGATTCCTGCAGCTGCACTGCCCGGAGTACCGGGCCCCGCGGCGGTCGCCCCAAGACCCGGCCGATCGGGCGAGTCTGGTGGATTTGTCCTACCGCGAGGACCCGGTGCTGACGATTCGCCAGCTGTCCGAGCTGTCGGGCCTGGGCATCCCCGCCGTGCGCGAGGTCCTGCAAGCCGCGCGGCCGGACTACAAGCCCTCGCGGGTGGCCAAACTGACGGACGATCAGCGCGAGTGGATTCTCCAGCTGGCGCGCTTCCACGACCCGGTGCCCACATTGGACATGATCGTGCGCATGGTCGGCGCCTCGCGGAGACAGGTGGTCAGCGTGCTGGCCGAGCATCTGCCGGACTTCGTGCCCCCCCGGTTGCCGGTCATCACGGCCAGCCTGCGCGAGCGGGTGCTGGCCCTGAACAGCCGGTTTGCCCTGGCCGAGGCGGCGGCCCCGGAGTCCGAGGCCGACCAGCCGGCCAACGTGTGCTCTTCCGATCTCGGAGACAGGTGGTCAGCGTGCTGGCCGAGCATCTGCCGGACTTCGTGCCCCCCCGGTTGCCGGTCATCACGGCCAGCCTGCGCGAGCGGGTGCTGGCCCTGAACAGCCGGTTTGCCCTGGCCGAGGCGGCGGCCCCGGAGTCCGAGGCCGACCAGCCGGCCAATCGGGACGGGCCCCCCGCTGACCGGACACCGCCGGTCCTCACCCAGACAGCGGTCCGGCTGATTGGCGCCGACACCGGGCTGTCGGAGAGGATGATCCGGCAGATTGTCTTCGGATTGCCGGGTCTGCGGCATGAGGACGACGACATGGCCGGCGCGAGGGCCGGCAACGCGGCGGGGCCGATGGCGGCCACGCCGACGTCCGCACCAGCAGCGGCAGTGGCAGCGGCAACACGGCGCCCGGCATCGGGGGCAAGCGGCCAGGCCACCATCGGGCCTTCCCCGCCCGGCCGAGGGTCGAATTCATCGGTGCCCTCGATGCGGCTGCAGCGTTTGCAGCAGCGGGCCGCGCGGCGAGGCCGCACAAACATGCTGGCCGCCGCCAACACAGCCACTACCGAGGAAGATCGGAAGAGCGTCGTGGCAGCGGCAACACGGCGCCCGGCATCGGGGGCAAGCGGCCAGGCCACCATCGGGCCTTCCCCGCCCGGCCGAGGGTCGAATTCATCGGTGCCCTCGATGCGGCTGCAGCGTTTGCAGCAGCGGGCCGCGCGGCGAGGCCGCACAAACATGCTGGCCGCCGCCAACACAGCCACTACCGAGGACGCCCAGGCCCCGGTGCTGGATGTGGCCTTCGACCCGGCAGCCGTGCCACGCACCGCGGGCCCGCTGCCGAGCATCCCTCGCACCTTCACCACCCTGACCTGGCGCGAGTTTCAGACCATCGTGCACTTGGCCAGGGAATCGGCCGCGGCCGATGCGGCCGATGGGGCCGATGCGGGCGACGCTCTGGCGACCGAGGCCCCCTCGGGCTCGGGCTCGGGCTCGGGTCCGGGCCCAAGCCCGGCCGAGCTCATGTCCATCGAGCAGATGGCCCAGGTGGCCGGGCACATCCCGGTGCGCATGGTGATCGCCGTGGTCCGCGAGCAGGTTCCCACCTACCGGGACCCCGGGCGACAGGGGGTCCTATCGAAGGACCTGGTCGGGCGGGTTCTCCGAGCGGCGGCCCGGGTATGGCGGCGGCCACCGGACGACGTGTACACTCCGAATGAGGCCACCGGCGAGCACTTGGCTGTGGTGGACGCCAGCCTCAAGGCCCCGGTGAATCCGCCGCTGGTGACGGTGGCCGCCCGGGCGCGTGTGTCCATCGCCCTGGCCCGGCACATCATCCAGGCCCGGATGCCGGAGTATGTGCCGGCCCCGGAGCTGACACAGACCGTGTCGGCCGAGCTGCGCCAGAGCCTGGTGCTGCAGGCCAAGCGCCAACTGAATGCCCTGATGGACCCGAAACTCACCGAGGCGCTGATGGCCAGCAACGGCGGCGGCGGCGGCGGCGGCGGCGGCGGTGGCGGCAGCAGCAACTGCCCCGCCAAGGCGCATGACATCCTCCCCGTCATGCCGGTTCTCCTTTCATACCAGGAGCTCGGGGCGGTGGTCCGGCTACATCCATCCACCATCCGCCGGGTGCTGGAGCAGGATCTCCCGGAGTACCATCCCCGGATGATGGCTGCCCGGCGCCTGTCCCCCTTCAAACGGGCCAACGTCCGGATATTGGCCTCGCAAACGGCCCCACGCTTGACGGTGGGGGAGATTGCCCAAGAGTTGGATCTCCCGGCCGGCCGAGTGGCCGACTACATCCGGTACTTCCTGCCGACATACCAGGCCCCCCGCGAGGTGATGACCCCCACCGAGCGGCTGGATGTCCTGCGGCTGGCCCTGCTGGGGGCGACAACTGGCCCGGCCATCGAGGCAGGCTGGCCCGCTCGCACGCCGATGCCCGTGGCGCAGATCGCCACGCACACCGGCTTGTCGATGGCCGCGGTCCGGAGGGTCGTCGAGAGCCTGGCCGTCGGGGACGAGTCGCCAACCGCGGAGGACGCCAAAGTGCAGGTATGAGGACCCCCCTCCTCCCCCCCCCCCACAACCTGGGAATAGACGTCAAAACCTGCGTGCAAGATGGGTGTGTACACAAACAAAACGTGTGGGTGTGTGGGTAGGTGGGTGTGTGGGGAGATATTCTAGATTTGAAGGGGTGCGCCCTGCTGCGCAGGCACAAGCAGGGGCACACTTAGGGCACGAGGGAAGGAGAAGGGGGAGGGGCGTGCGGCACTGTGCACAGCGGGGTTGTGTGTGTGGCCCCTCCTGTGGCGTGCGTGACACGCACGCATGCGCCAAGAAGAGCACGGGTGGGTGGACATGTGTGTATGTGCGGTGGTGGGCGGGGAGGTGGAGGAGAGAGGCGGGCCGGGGGCGAGGGCGGGGGCGGGAGCGGGGGCGGAGCGGCAGGGGCCCGCGCATGCATCCGATGAGGTCTGGAAGGGCTCGCGCCGGGGGAACCGCTCTGTCTGCGTAAGTCTCGGCGCGTGTCCCGGCCGCCCCGGTGTGCCCCCCCCCCCCCCTGCCGCCTCAGTGGCCCATGTTCGCTCTCGCCACTCCTGCGGGGGACGCGCATGTGCGTGTATGTGTGTGTGTGTGTGTGTGTGCATGTACATGCGCATGCACACTTAAGAAACAACGCGGTACGGGCGCAGGAAGCGCAGGGCCATGGTCTCCAGCTCGGCGGGGACGACGCCGACATCGCCGAAGCCCAGGGCACCGGGGGTGGGGGTCTCGTCGATGCTCAACCGGTAGACATCCGAGCGCGAGGCCAGGCGGTTGGACGGCAGGAGCTCGTACATGCGCAGGATGGCCTTGAAGATGGGGGCCGGGACGTTCAGCGGGCTGATCGGGGCGCCGGTGGTGTCGGAGTAGATCTGAAGAATCTCGTTGTAGGTGTACTTCTTGGGACTGGATGGCGGCCGGGAAAAAAAGGGGGGGGGGAGGGGGAAACGGGGCTGTCAGCCATCGAGGGGAGGGGAAAGAAGGTCGGCGATGCGGCCGTGACGGCGGGGGAAGGGAAGAGACGCACCCAACGAGCTCATACACCTTACCGGAGGAGTTGGGCGAGACGGCGATGTTCTGGATGGCCTGGGCGACGTCACCGGCCTGTGTGCGTGCGTGCGTGCGTGCGTGCGTTTGTGTGAGCATCTGCGCGGGAGGAGGGAGAAGGATCGCACGGCATGGCAGTGGTGCCACGTACGTAGGTGGGGTAGAAGACGGTCTCACCGCCGTTGACGACCAGGTCGCCGGGGAAAAGGACGTTGCGGTTCATGTCTGTTGGGCAGGGGGGGAGCGAGGGGCCGCCGGGGCTGCCGGCTGGGAAGGCCCGAAGCCGAAGGAACCAGTAGGCCCGGGCCCCAGAGGCGGGAGGGGGGGGGGGGGCAGGACGGGGGGTGGTGGGGGAGGGGGGGTGCGGCGCCGGGTGGGGGTCCCTGCGTCGCAGTTACCCTGGCGGGGGGGGGGGGGGGGGGGGGGGGGGGGGGGGGGGGGGGGGGGGGGGGGGGGGGGGGGGGGGGAGGGGGGCGGGGGATGTCAGATGCAACACACATGCATGCACGCATGCGGCGGGAGGCACCGCGAGCGCATCTCAGCCCCCTGGCGGGGGGCGAGCCGCGGGCGCAGAGACGACGTACGGGCGATCCAGCGGAGGAAGCGGTCGTCGTAACCATACATGGTGGACGGGCGGACAATGCTGGCCTCGGGGAACTCCGAGAGGACGGCAAGCTCACCAAGACGCTGATGGGAGGGCGGCAAGGGGAGGGGGTGGAGAGGGAGAGAGAGAGAGAGAGGGAAGCCCGTCAGTACACAAGAATACCCAGGGGGCATGTGTGTGTATGTGTGGCGAAAGTGGCTCAGAGAGCGGGAGAGGGAAGGGGGGGCCAGCTGGCGCACCTTGGTGGAGAACTGCTTGGCCTCGGAGTCGGCATCGGCGTTGATGTGAGAAACGTGGACGAGGCGCTTGACGCCGGCCTTCTTGCAGGCCTCGGCAATGGTGCGCGGGGCGTCGATGTTGATGTCCTCGAACTTGAAGTTGCTGTACCGGAGGACGGGGCGAGAGAGGGCGTCAGAGGAGCAGCGGAGCGGGCGGGCGGGCGGGCGAGGGCGGCTGCGAGTGGGGCCAGAGGGAGGGGGGCATGCGCGGCGCGGGGTGCGGGTGCGTACGCGGTCTCGTAGTCACGGCCGATGAGGTTGATGACGATGTCGGAGCCCTCCACCAGCTGAGCAACGCGGTCCTTGTCGCGGACGCAGTAGAACTATCCACGGAAGGAGGAGGGAAGGGGGTGGAGGAGGCCGGGGCAGGTGCGAATGATGGGCATATGCATGGGTGAGTGGCATGGCGCGGGGCCGGGCGCGGAGGAGGACGGGGAGAGCGGCCACCAAAAGGGCACCCAACGCACGTTCTGGACAACCTGGCCCAGGTCGCCCATGACCTTGAGGTGGCGGATATCGTAGTGGTCACCGCGGTAGGGGGTGCGGACGGTGCTACCAATGCGGGCAAAGCGGTGCACGGTGCCGAGACCGAGCAGACCACTGGCGCCGAAGATGGTCACGGTGTGGCCGGACACGGAGGACCGGCCGCGACCGTAGTGGACCGCGGCATCAACATCGGCGGTGGGGATGGGGATGACGGGCTGTGTGGGGCGCAGCCAGGGGGCGCGGGGGGCGGGGGAAGAGGGG